CTCTGGAAGCCGAGCCGCTAAGCCCCGCCCTTGCCACGCCGTCCAATTGGCTAGGCCAGAGGAGGGTCCCGCCCCCTGCGCCGGCCCTTGGCCGCCCTGTTCTCCATGATGGGCAGGTCGGGCGGCCAGTAGGCGCTCGCCTCTCTGCCCCGCTCGTTAGCTGGCGCTCGCTTTCTGTGAGGCTCGGACTCCCGCGTCAGTGAGTCTCTGGTGCGTTCGCCCTCCCCTGTGGAGAGGAGATGTTATTTCCCTCCTTTCTCTGAGGGGTGAAGATTCTTCTGGAAGAGGTTCCCCTTCGAGAGGCAGGGACCTTGACTGCGGTCTTCCCTTGTCTCTTCAGTGTCTTGTGTGGAGAGCGGGGGGGGTCCAGCCTAATTGCAGAAACTCCTCATTCTTGGGGCGTCGGGCTGGGGTGGACGAGTAGGGGCGCGGGGGGTGCTGAGACCGTCTCGGAGGGTGTTTTCGAGGTATGTATCTGGGAAGAGCTGTGTAGGTTGAGGAAACTCCCGCCAAAAGAAAGCTGGTGTAGACTGTCAGCCCCCTGTGGGCGAAACTCGCTCGTTTCCCGCAGCGTCCCCTCCCCCTCCCCGGGGCTGGCTGGGACCGAGGCCGAGCGGCGCCGTCCGGAGGGGTCGGTGCGGGTGTTTGCGGGTCGGATCAGACCCCGGAGCAGCCCTGGAGGTAGAAGGTGGGAGGAAGAGCGTAGAGCGGCGTAACTGTAAACTGTTGAAAGTTGGTGTTGAAGTTGGATGTTCTGTACTCTCCCCGGGAGTTGGGCGCCTGCCCCCAATCCAGGAGGGTCGCTGCAAGTTCGAGCCCAGCCTGGGCTCCGTAGTGAGTTCAAGACCAGCCCCAACTACATTATCAGACCCTGTCTCGTGAAATATTAAAAAAAAAAAGGAGCAAAAAACGCAAACTCAACTCTTCTACCGCCTCCTTGCCTTTGCCTCGAGGGCCCATAATAAAGCAGTTCTGTTGGCCCCAGGCCGCCTCCCTCTTACTGTCTTTTCTAAGGAATCCAGTGGCCAAGGGTCTTGGGAACCTGCTTCCTTGTCTGGCACCCACCCGTCCTCAGCCAGGTTGCTTGGTTTTTTCAGTCGCACTTGGGGTTGGAAGGCCGTTTAAGTAAGAATGTTAACCGGATGCCGGACGCCGTGGGGCAGCCCACATCTGTAATCCTGGCACTTGGGAGGCTGAGGCAGGAGCATTGTTGTGAGTTCAAGCTCAGCCCGGACTACACAGCAAGACCCTGTTTTAACCCCTCTCTGACCCCCGCAAGTCAGGATGTTAGTAGCGCCTTACTAACAAGTAATGACCTTTAAGAAGTAGACTTTATTGCTGTTATTTTATTGAGGGAGTAGGGAGGCACAGAGAGAATGAGATTTTTTCCAGGTCACATAAAGTCAAGATTAGAACCTAGAGTACCCCACAGACTCTTTTTTTTTTTTTTACCAGCCTGGGGCATCTCTGTGGTGTTCTTACATCCCTGTGAGGAGTTGAACAGATCAGAGGGTCTGGCTTCAAACTGTAGCTTTGTCACTTACTGACTTTCCCTTGAGAGACACTTTTTTGAGCTTCTGTTTCTTCATCTTGTAAAAGGGAGACGATCATGTATACTGTTCCCAGGGGAGTTGTGAAACATATTAAAAGGAACAGGGTTTTGTAGTTTGTTAGCTATGATAGGTTACCATCTCCACTCTATATAAAGATGGTAGGTCCTACAGCCAAGCTGACAAACTGTTTTTTGTCTGTGAAATCCTCTCTGTTCATACCTTTCCTAATCTCTGCCCTCATCGTGGGCACCATATCTCCAGAAGTCTTTCTGGTGACAGTGGCTTTGATAACTGCCTACCACAGCTTCTCATGAGCTCATCGTTACTGAGGTAGAAAACTTTAAGGCTTTCTGTGTGCTGGACAGGGGCAGTTTAGATGTATGTATTTTCAAGATAACAGTAAATTGAGAGTTTACCTTGATTCTGCTCCCGTTGTCTTGGCTTTCAGTCCAATGAGTATCCCAGACAGGCCACTTGCAGAGTCTGCAGTTTCTGCTTGGGAATGTACTAGCCATTAATCCTAGATGCTGCATTTTGCAAGAAATACCCTGCATACTCTAGTTTGAAGCCCTTAGACCACATATGATAGACATTTCAGATGCCTTAACCATGGGCAGGGCCTAGGGAGAGGGATTCACATGGTGAGATGGGCTGGGAGAGGGCCCTGGACTTGCAAAATTTTGCTATGTTCTGGGGACCAGTATTCATATATAGCCTGTAGAAGTGGCTGCTCTTGTTTTTTTCTGCTCTTTTTTTCATCCTTTCCCCTCTTCTCCCTTCCCTTTCTTTGTTGTTGTTGTTGTTGTTGTTGTTGTTTTGTTTGTTTTTTTGAGACAGGGTCTCACTGTGTAGTTGAGACTGACCTGGAACTCACTATGTAGCCCAGGCTGGTCTCAAACTCACAACGATCCTCCTGCCTCAGCCTCCTGAGTGCTGGGATTATAGGCACACATGTCTGGCTTCTCCATCTTTTTTGTCAGGATTTTGCTATATTGCCTAGGCTGGCCAAATAGCCAGGACTATAGCAGTTTGCCACCACATCTTACCCATTTCTTCTTTTCTGAATCCTTAGTCACCCTGTCCTTTCTCTTTTTCTTTTTACTCTTTTTAGGTACTGGGAATCAAACCTTGCACTTGCCAGGAAGGCTCAGTGCCACTGAGCTACATCCCTGGCCCCACTCCATCCTTTTTCATAGTTGGCTGTCCTACCAACTTGTGCACATCATGAGAACATCAGGTCTTTCTTTATGTTGGGTTGTAAGGATCTCTTTACTTTTGTGTCCCTTCAGTCATCAGAGCTCCTTGAGGACAGGGATCACAAGTGTTTGATTTCTCTTTTCAGTCACCTAGTACTTATTGAGTGCTTACCTAAGGAGCGAGGCATCGCTCCAGGCATGAGGCTTATATCGGTGAACGAGGCAGCAAAAATCCTCAACCCCATGGAGTTTACCTTCTGGCAGAAGGAAGCGAAAATAAACCTTATAAATAAGTACATCACATAGCGTGATAGAAGATGGTGTGACAGCGAACAATAGAGCAGGATGCAAGGTCCATTGCTGATGGAGGAGAGGGATTTGCAGTTGTAGAGGGAGTACTCTGAGAAGGTCTCGCTGAGAAGTGTTTGTGGAAAGACTGGAAGGGGAAGCGAGGTGGGTACCTGAGGAGCAGGGCACAGCCGTTCTCTCGGTGGCCACTTGGTCGCATGGAACAGGGTGTAGGTCCTTGTGTGGGTGAGCATCCGGCTCAGGGGCTCCTGGCTTTCTCCCCTCAGGCTTGTCTCCTCGGCTCCCCGGTGCCATGAGGAAGCCCCGCCGGAAGTTGCGGCAGAATGCCGAGGGCCCGCGTCCCCCGTCTCCCTACAGTCTCAAGTGCTCCCCGACCCGAGAGACACTGACCTATGCCCAGGCCCAGCGGATTGTCGAGGTGGACATTGATGGACGCCTGCACCGGATCAGCATCTATGACCCGCTCAAGATCATCACTGAGGATGAGCTGACTGCTCAGGACATCACCGAATGCAACAGTAACAAGGAAAACAGCGAACAGCCTCAGTTCCCTGGCAAGTCCAAGAAACCCTCGTCCAAGGGCAAAAAGAAGGAGTCCTGCTCCAAGCATGCATCCGGTACCTCCTTCCATCTCCCACAGCCCAGCTTCCGCGTGGTGGATGCAGGCAACCAGCCAGAAGCACCTCCGCTGCCCGCCGCCTATTACCGCTACATGGAGAAGCCTCCTGAAGACCTGGATGCGGAAGTCGAGTATGACATGGATGAGGAGGACCTGGCCTGGCTGGACATGGTGAATGAGAAACGGCGAGCAGATGGATACAGTTCCGTGTCGGCTGACACCTTCGAGCTGCTGGTCGACCGGCTGGAGAAGGAGTCGTACCTGGAGAGTCGCAGCAGCGGGGCCCAACAGTCACTCATTGACGAGGACGCCTTCTGCTGTGTCTGCCTGGATGACGAGTGCCACAACAGCAATGTCATTCTCTTCTGTGACATCTGCAACCTGGCCGTGCACCAGGAGTGCTACGGTGTCCCCTACATCCCCGAGGGCCAGTGGCTGTGCCGCTGCTGCCTTCAGTCTCCCTCCCGGCCTGTGGATTGTGTTCTCTGCCCCAATAAGGGTGGTGCCTTCAAACAGACCAGTGATGGGCACTGGGCCCATGTAGTGTGTGCCATCTGGATCCCCGAGGTTTGCTTTGCCAACACTGTGTTCCTGGAGCCTATCGAGGGCATTGACAACATCCCACCCGCCCGCTGGAAGCTAACCTGCTATATCTGCAAGCAGAAGGGGCTGGGCGCAGCCATCCAGTGCCACAAAGTGAACTGCTACACAGCCTTCCACGTTACGTGCGCACAGCGGGCTGGGCTCTTCATGAAGATCGAACCCATGCGGGAGACCAGCCTCAACGGCACCATCTTCACCGTGCGCAAAACCGCCTACTGTGAGGCCCACTCCCCACCCAGCTCCACCACTGCCAGGAGGAAGGGCGACTCCCCCAGAAGCCTCGGCGAGGCAGGGGACGAAGATGGGCTAAAGGAGGGTGGTGGGGAGGAGGAAGAAGAGGGAGAAGTGGCAGAGGAGGAGCAGGAAGGCCAAGGTGGGGTAGGCAGCCCCCTCAAAGCAGCGCCCAAGAAGAACAAGGTGAAACAAAAGATCAAGAAGGAGCCAGAGGAAGCAGGCCGAGACACACCTTCTACTGTTCCCACCCTCACTGTCCAGCAGATACCATCTTACAGGTGAGCCTGCCCAGGAGGGCTCTTTGGAGTTTCTTTTTGGTTTGGTTATAGCCCTGAGAAGGTTTGGGCCCTTCCCCAAATGTGGTCAGTAGATATCTGTACCCTTCTGTGCCCCTAAATTTAGACTTCTCTTTTGGAGTCTGGGCTTATCTACCCTGTTTGTGATTTTGATGGTGCCCTCAGGGTAATGTGTTTCCTTTGGTTTAGGGTGAAACATTTAAATCGCTTAGAAACTCAGGTGACAGGATACCTGGGTATCTGGGTGTGGCGGTGCACACCTGTAATCCCAGCATTCAGGATGTGGAGGCAGGGTGAGATCGCCACCAGTTAGAGGCCAGCCTAGGCTACACAGTGAGTTCAAGGCCAGCCTGAATTACATAGTAAGACTGTCTCAAAAAAAAGAAAGAAAAGAAAAGATGTTTCAGGCAGTGTTTTTCAACAAGGGCACTAAGTGGCATTTTGGACAGGATAATTCATCAGTTAGAACTGTCCCATGCATTTCCTGATGCTATGCCAGTTGCCTCCCCTGATCTTTGTGAAAAATGACAAACACTCCCAAATAGTTTCCAGAAAGCCTTCGGGGGATAGAACTATTCCTGATGAGGAACCCTCTGTCTAAGTCCCACACATCTGCCAACAAGCTCTGTCCGGGTATGACAGGGACTGAGGCGGTGGTATGGGGAGGATGTTTCATTCCTTCCTTGAAAAAGCTTTAGACTTAGGGGAAGTTCCGCTGGGTAACTAAGCCACCTGGGCCCTGCTGAGTTGCGGAGAGATCATTGTACCTGTTTCAAACTCCCAGTGAACGTACCGGAGCTGGTGGAAGGATGGGAGCTTGGCAGAGGTGTGAGTCAGGGAAGGCGTTCCAGGAGAGGTCATCACAAGGGCGGTTCAGTAGCAGATGTACAATGTTAGAGCAGGACAACTGTTGGAGATTGTTCATCTAATGTAGTCCTTGCACCTTCTCCCACATCCCCAGATGAAGAAACTACGGCCACAGGAGGTAAAGTTATTCCTTTATTCATTCAATGAGATATTTATCGAGCACTTACTATATGCCATGTTCTGTTCTAAGGGCTGGACCAGGTGGAATGTAACAGATCCTGGACCCAGCTGAGGCTTCTGCTGCCTCTCTAGGCTGTGCTCCTGCTCTCTGGCTTTCTTGATGGGAAGGTTAGGGAAAAAAGTACGGGAAAGTTGTAGGGAACCAGCTGTGTGTGGGTGGGTAGAGGGTAGGAAGCCAGATGTGAAGGCTGGGAGACAGAGTGAGACCACCAGGGAGGCTCTTGTGCACCACAGCCCAAATGAGAATTTTGGGGACTCTGAATGTGTCTTCTAGACACAGCTGTTCCAGCCGCCTCTTTCCCAAGCTGCGTCTCCACTTCGTCCCAATCTGTACAGTAGCTGGGCCCCAGGGTGGACTCTGGCTATCCCGTCTGTTCCTCTAGATCCCTCTCCCAGGGGCTGGCTGATATGGCTGAGAACAGACAGGCCTGTCACTTAGTATCTGTGTCATCTGAACTGCTCTCAGCCTTAGTTTATTTGTGAATGAACCCATCACATAGAATTGTGAGAAATAAATGCGAGAATATAAGTAAAGCACTTAGCACAGTGGCTGGCAGATAGTAAGTGCTCAATAAATGGTGGCTGCTGCTGCTGCTGCTATTTTTATTATTATTCTTTTCCCTACTTGCACAAATGCTGTCGAAACCCTCCATGGTCAAGAGGTATAGAGGGAGGGGGCTGCCTGCATCTGGGCAGGTGTGCTTGGCATGGGCGTGGATGGGGATCTGTCCTTTGGGGAAAAAGCCTAGGCTTTGATTTTGGAAGCTTGGCTTTGGAGCAGGAATGTCTGACTGGAGGTGAACAGTGTCCTGCCCAGCGTGCCCGTCCATCTCAGGTTCCATCTGTCTAGAGTAGCCGCATTTGTCTTCTTTCCAGTGGAGTCGGGGAAGAGATAGAAGCAGAGGGAATACCATAGGCACTGAGTCCTGGCTTTCCCCGTGGATAACCAGTTTGGGGATGCACCACGGCAGAGCGATCATAGATTTCAGATCCCACCCAGAATCTGCCATCTTATTGAATAGCCACATTCATTGCTCTGACAAGTAATTCAATCCCTGTCCCTAAGCTGTCTTCCCATCTTTTGCAGTGTAAGAATAATATTATTCTTCTTGCAGTACACATGTTAGGTTAGACATGATGTGCTCTCTTAATTCCTTTTCTACCCCTCCCCGCTTTATTTAATGGCTTAAACTCTAACCATAAGAATTCTCTTTTGTTTTGTTTTGTTTTGTTGTTTTTGTTGTTGTTGTTTTGTACCGGGGATCAAACTGAGGACCTTGCACTTGCAAGGCAGGCAGTGGGACCACTGAGCTAAATCCCCGGCCCTGAGACTTCTCTTTTGGCTACATTTTCAGATCTTCTGTTCTCTTAAACCTTTAGATCCATTTATTTTTTCAATTTGGCTAAAAAATAAGAAAATATCTTTTAGCAGCTAAGATTTTTACGATGAAAACCAGAGTTTAAACAACTCTAAGGGGCTGTATGTGGAATCAGAAAACAATAATTTGATGTATGTTTTTGATCCAGCCTGGTTGTAAGCCACCTTCCACCCCCTGGCTTGGTGGGAATCCTCAGCCACAGGAGGCAGGAAATAGTGGCCACGTTGTCCATAGCTTACTCAAGTTCCTATTACCCTTTGCTGCTTTTATGAAGAGAAAGGTGGGGGTGTCGGAGTGCAGGCTTGTTTCGCACTTAAAACATGGAAGGAAGGGTCCAGCACCACAGGAAACAGGTTCTAGAAGGTTCTTTTGGAGAGTCAGGGCTACAGTACAGGAGGTGGAAAAGCAAGTGAAATACCTCTTGCTGCATCTGAGCTGCTTAACTTTGCTGTCCTTTTCAAGGCTTTCTCTGAGGTGAGGCGTTTGGCCACTTTATTCTGTCTTCCTGGGTAGAGTTCAGAAATGAACCAGGCTCTGGATAGGATGCATGGGCCATCATCTCGGCTGCCCACTGACCCTGTCTTTCACTTCCCTGTGCCTCTACTCAAGGTTGAACAAGATCTGTAGTGGTCTCTCCTTTCAGAGGAAAAACCAGTTCATGCAGCGGCTTCACAACTACTGGCTGTTGAAGCGGCAGGCACGGAACGGCGTCCCTCTCATCCGGCGCCTGCACTCCCACTTGCAGTCCCAAAGAAACGCTGAGCAGGTAAGTGCAGTGGTGAGCAGAGGCTGGTGGAGGGAGGTGGAGAGCAGAGGAGGAGGCAGGGCCACCTGTCCCTGAGTCCTGTTCGGGACCTTTGTCTATAGGGGGCCACCCCTCTCCGTGTGACCCATCCCAGGAGCAACCAGCACCTCCACAGAGGTCTTCAAAGCCAAAGGCAGCCCCTTCCAGGTGGAAGGCTTGGCTGAGGGGCAGGCCTGGGAGCGAATGGAGAGCCAGCCCAGCTTCCCTGTGTGGAGGGAAAATGCTCCAGATGTGGCAGAAGGAGGAAGATGTGGGCTGATTAGAGTCAGGGCCGCTATGCTACGGGTATTAGAAAAACCTCCCTTTTCTGAAGACAGTATACTGCCAGCTGCCAAAAATGTGTCATACATAGTAAATACCAAATTTATGACCTTACCTGTGGGGCACAGCCTGTCCAATTGTGGTGGCCATTAGCATCTGGAATTGCTGCATGTTTAATGTTTTCTGCTCCTAGTTTCCCTTCTTTTTTGATACTGCGGATTGCTTGCGAGGCAGGTGGCAGAACCGCTAAGCTAAATCCCCAGGCCTCCCTTCTGTTTTTTACATTTTCGGTTCTCTGTCCTTCACCTCTTTGTTACTTGTCTTTAAATCTTTTTACATTGCTGGTCCAGAGAAGAAGCAAGCCTTTACGCAACTCAGGTGCCATTTTTTCTTTTTTTTTTGGTTTTTTGAGACAGGGTCTCACTATGTAGTTCAGACTGTTCTGGAACTCACTGTGTAGCCCAGGCTGGTCTCGAACTCGCAGCGATCCTCCTGCCTCATCCTCCGGAGTGCTGGGATTACAGGTGTGTGCCACCACGCCTGGCTCAGATGCCTTGTACATTCCATCTCATATTGCCTTTGCTTTTGTAATTAAGCTTCTGAAGGGCAGGCCTATACCTGGTCCGCCTTGAACCTTCTGGCCCATGTGCCTTCCTGAAGCCACCCCTAAGACGTCAGAGACCTCCTCCCAGCCCAGTCTTTCCTCAGACTGTCCAGGTACAGTTGACATTACCTGTCACCGTGACGAAGAGCTCCTGTGTGACACCATTTCCCACTTTTGTCCCCGTGACTGCACCCTGGGCTGATCTACATCTTGCTCTTTGGAGATTCCCTACAGCTACATTGCCTGCTTGTTTGCTTGGAAAACATGGCTGCTGTCATAATTGAATATAACTGTGTAGCAATAGCTCCTGGTTTTGTTCTTGAGCTTTTTTCTGCCTTTCTAGTGTATTTCCATGTGGATGTTATTACCTTTAACTTCGTCCGATCCAGAAAACGGAATCCATTATCTTACTCTCAGTAAACTCTCCCCTATTCTTTTTGTAGACCCTTCTCCCTTCCAATCTCTTTTCAAGTAGTCCCCACCGGGGAGTGGCTTTTGACCCTTCCCATAATGGGTCACAGTTAATCATCCCCAGGTTGTTTTGAGGGATTGATCAGTATGGTCCTTTGTTCCATTCTACAGTTACCTGGCCTCCCCAGGGCCCCCGGAAACTCGGCAGCAGCGTTCTAGGGGGTCTTCGGCCTCTGATTCTTTCTTTGTTGCACAACCGTTTTCTACCCTGTCACTTCCTTTTCCAGAATTTACTCTTTTGCTACAGGCAGGCCGAGTCCAGACTCTTTTTGCCTGGCAAGAGGCGTGTTACTAGCTGGATCCTGGGGCTTTGTGGCTTTCATAGTTCCCCAATTTCTCTGCTCTGGCTGGCCCATTTTGCTCATTCAACAGGCCCATTAATTCTGCCTCCACATTTCTGCCCCTTTCCCTGTCAGTTCCAGAAGAGGCCTTGCTTCTTGCTTTGCCTGCTTATGTCTGCCATTGTAGACAGTGGATCTCTACTCTCCTGTGGTTGCTTTCCCCTGGAAGCGTTGCCTACTCAAGCCCTTTCTGTATTTTGTTTCTTCTCATCATTTTACATTCAGTTTACACGATCCGTTTTCCTGTCATTATTCTAATAGGTACTTGTATTTCAGGCCCTGGGCCATCCTTCCCCGACTGACGATTCTCACTCTTCTAGGACAGCATCCACAGCTTTTCCTTCTTACCAAAGTATGTTTGAGCCACATAGTACAAGCTAATAGAGAAAAAATGGCTTTATTTTGTGGCCAAGTCAAAGCTCTAGGGTCAGATTTTTTCCACCCCGAGCTGTCTGTTAGTTTTCATCTGAAATTCCTTGCAGCCCTGGAGCCACAGATGATCCCGTTATCCCTGGGAGGTAGGTGAAGAGTCCTGGCTTCCTCCCCAGCAGCCTTACTGTGTTGCAGTGGAAAAATGTTATTACAAGCCCTGAGACAGGCAAGAGGGAGGCCGGGGAGCAGAGGGCGAGAGAGCCTGGGTCAAGGAAGGGGACAGGATCCCTCTGCCGAAGCTGGCTGAGTGAGGCTGGAGCGGGGAGAGGACTCCGAGCAGGAAGGGGGCCCGCAGCTGCTCCTCCTCTGGCCTCCTGCAGCGAGAGCAAGACGAGAAGACCAGTGCAGTGAAGGAGGAACTGAAGTACTGGCAGAAGCTCCGGCACGATCTGGAGCGGGCACGGCTGCTGATCGAGCTGATTCGGAAGAGGGAGAAGCTCAAGCGGGAACAGGTAAGGAGCAGCCCCAGCTCTGGGGCTCTTGTTCAAGGTCGCTTTCTCCCACTCTTAGTGTGGAGGCCCAGGAGCCCCGCCTGGCGCCAGCATTCTCCCCCTTTCCTGCCCAGCTCCACAGGCTTCAGGGTCTGCGAACTCCGCCATAGGTGCGGCTTTGTGGTTCGGCGTAAGTTTAATATCATAGGCCCACAGCCATTCCGAGGGTTTCTGGTCGAGGAAGTTTCCAGGGAGGTGGTCTTGAGTATCTCGCAGAGCTTCTCAGGCTGTTCTGATGGGTACTGCTGTTTGAGAAGCTGTGGCCTGGGAACTCCCGAGGGTTCTCACATGGCCCTGAAACACTTCCCATCTTAAATCATTTGAAGCTCTAACCTCAGTGCAGGGAGATCCTCTGTCCCTGAGCATGGGGAATGTTGATCTCTTGATGCCTCTGTGTCCCCATCTGTAACATGGGGCTATTGACTACCTGCGTTTGTGAGGATTAGATGGCTCTGTAAGGAGAAAGAGCTCCGAACAGTGGCACGTGGTAAGGGCTACAGCAGTGTCAGCTGCTGTCATTACTGTTTCCACTGATGCTCTTTGTCTTGCTAAAGTGTTTGTGGTAGTGCTCTGCACACGGCAGAGAGCAAGTACTATTAATTGAGTGGATGGCGCCAGAACTGTTCTCTTTGGTCCGGGAATAGCAGCTGTTACTCACATGCTTCAGAGTCCTGGGTTAAAAATGTTCCTTTCTCTTTCCAACCCTGCATCACTGTTCAGCCCGAGCCCTTCTCCAGCAGGTCAAGAGCCTTGAGTATCCACCTGCAGTGTGGGTGCCACAGGTGCCTAGGTTCAGAGTCGGGGCCACCCCAGGCTTGGACCCACAGCCGACTTTCTCCTCCTGAAACAGGAGAAGGAAGCTGTGGCCTGGGGAAGCAGGCAGGCTTATTTTGATGCGGCCTTGAAGCAGGAACTTTTCATAGTGTGATTCACGGCTTCCCGGGTGTTTCTCATGCAGGGCACACGTGGATAACAACATCTGACCAGCAGCCGCTGTCGGGGGCTCTGGTCACCGCAGGTTGAGCCAGGCACTCTGCGAGCTGATGGGACCAGGGTCTCAGCGTACCTCGTGGAAGACTCTGGCCAGGGCACTTTGACTTTATCACTGTGCTCTTTGTCTGAATCAGACCTCAGTCAGTCAGGTCCAAATGCTGTCTGTATTTCCCAGCCAGGTGACCTGAGACAGGTGACGCCATCAATTTCTAAATGGCAGGATCCATATTTGTAAAATGGGGTAACACTTTCTCTTTCAGAGCTGTTGTGGTGGTCCCTTGTGGTATAACAAGTAGAGAAGCAGTGTGGTCTATCGAGCAAGAACACTCATGGAGGAGCCAGAGCCTCTGGGACTGAATCCTAACTCTGCTCCTGATTAGCTGTGTGACCTTCGGCCAGTTGCTCGGTCTCTGTGCCTCTCTGTGCTTTGTAAAATACCTCATCTGTACCTACCTCAAACATTCACTTGTATTACATAAAGTGCTTAAAACATTACCTGATAGTATCAATTATGGCAGTGTTAAGAGTCAAAATTATTTCACTACCTGAAGTCTTGGTATGGGGCTTGATGCCTAGAAAGCATAGTTTGTCTTCTCTTGCTGCAGCAGAATATCACAGACTGGGTAATTTGTAAAGAAAAGTTTACTTAAAATGGCCCATGATCCTGGAGGCTGGCAAGTCCAAGCCCCAAGCCAGGGGAGGGCCCTCACGCTGCATGGAGTCTCAGCGAGAAAGCAGGAGGCTGCCTGTGGAACAGGCCCGGAGCACTCCAGCCATGCAGGGCCTGGTGTGGAGACTCCTCTGGGGCTGCGGTTTCCTGTGCCTCGGCTGTGGGTGGGTGAGAGCTCCAGTAGCGGTCAGCTCAGTACCCCGTGGAAATTTATGGCCATGTTGATGGCAGCCGAGCCGTGGAGAAGGAATTTCAGTGTCCGTGGCAGGGATGTCCTGGTCACCTCCCCGCTCCTCCCAGGTCAAGATCCAGCAGGCTGCCATGGAGCTGGAGCTGATGCCTTTCAATGTATTGCTGAGGACAACCCTGGACCTGCTGCAGGAGAAGGATCCCGCACACATCTTTGCGGAACCGGTCAACCTGAGTGAGGCAAGTTCCCCCGACTTCCAAAGCAGTGCCCCCTGAATTGAAAACAGGGTCAGTGGAGGCCAGGAGGGGCTGGGACATGGGAGCACAGAACTGAGCAGGCGCCGTGTCGGGCAAGGCCAGGAGACCTGGCCAAGGTGAGGGATCAGCAGGAGGCAGGGTGGGCCAAGCCCCCCAGGCTCTGAGTGAGGCGGGCATGGCCATACCAGAGTGCCGGAGAAGGGTGCGCCTGTTTGGCTAGTAAATGGTTGTTGTAATTGTACAGGTTTTATATGTTTAGGTTCCAGATTACCTGGAATTCATATCCAAGCCAATGGATTTTTCTACTATGAGGAGGAAGCTGGAGTCCCATCTGTACTGCACCTTGGAGGAGTTTGAGGAGGACTTTAACCTTATAGTTACCAACTGCATGAAGTATAATGCTAAAGACACAATTTTCCACCGAGCAGCTGTCCGCTTGCGGGACCTGGGAGGGGCCATCCTTCGGCATGCCCGGCGGCAGGCAGAGAACATCGGCTATGACCCCGAGAGGGGCACCCACCTGCCGGAATCACCCAAATTGGAAGACTTTTACCGCTTCTCCTGGGAAGATGGTGAGAAGTCTGGACAGGTGGGGAGGAGAGGGACCAGGAAGAGGCACAGGGACGGAGTTCAGAGAGCCAGGGACCAGGGTGGGGTGCGGACGCGGGAAGCCGGTAGGCACAGACTGGGGTCCATCTGCCTGTGGCTGGGGTAGTTCCAAGGTTAAAGTGGAACCAGGCTACTAAGTACTTTTGAGTGGTAGGAAAAGGGAGTCAGGTGCTGCCGGCTGTTAAAGCTAAGGGCTCCCCAGGGGTCTTCCTCTCCTGTATCTCCTCTGTGGAGCAGAGGCCTGGAGCGTGGGGCAGGAGAGTACAACGCTGGTGTGTGTGGCTCATTCAGAAGAGTGCAGGCGGAAGAGCAGAAACACAGACTTGCCTCCGAGCCCATACTACCTGCCCTGCTCTCTGCTTCTCCACGGCAGCCTCCTAACAGTCATTCCAGCCTGGGGATTGCCGAGCTTCCTCGTGCCTGTTCCATGGAGCCCTAATCATGACTGTCAACTGCTTCCTGCAGATGTTTCCCACATTCTGACCTTGTTCCCCCATGGCTGACTTCTGGAAAGTGGTGTCACAGGGCCAAGGGCCCGCGGTGATGCCACTGGTAGCCACTGGGCATTCCAGGAGAGTCTTTTGCCTCAGAAGGACTTGGTCCCTCTCCTTTGCCTGGGCTGGGCAGGTCCTTCATCCCCTTCTGTCCTCCTTCTCCCTGGCAGTGGACAACATACTCATCCCAGAGAACCGGGCCCATTTGTCCCCAGAGGTGCAGCTGAAGGAGCTGCTGGAGAAATTGGATGTGGTGAGCGCCATGCGGTCCAGTGGAGCCCGCACCCGTCGCGTCCGTCTGCTGCGCCGGGAGATCAATGCCCTTCGGCAGAAGCTGGCACAGCCACCGCCACCCCCACAGCCTCCCTCACTGACTAAGACTGTGTCCAATGGAGAGCTGCCCGCGGGGCCCCAGGGGGATGCAGCTGTGCTGGGGCAGGTCCTGCAGGAGGAGCCAGAAGACGATGGGGACAGAGGTAAGAGAGAGGCATGGGTGGCAGGATGCTGAGGTGGGGCAGGGGGACAAAGGCCAAGCTGGTGTTTCCTGGGGGTGCCCTGGCCCTAGGGCCCAGCAAAAGCCCTTGGAAGAGTCACCCTTCCGTAGCATGCTTGGGGGATGATATTAAGAACATGTAGAAATCAGTAAGAGAACAAAATGTATGTCAGAGTAGAAGCTGGCTCTACAGTAGACTAGGCACCTGATGGCCCCTTATGTGGATGTTTAGTTGCCGAGTTGTGGGCAGTTCAGGTGCCAGCACTCAGCAGCTGTTTACTAGCCGTTTACGAAATCTTACAGTATTTTGCACCTGATGTAGCTGCGTTGCGCATTCCAGTTAAATATCAGCCTGCTGTCTACTACCATGGAGACAGGAGGCTCTTAGAGCAGGGTAGGTTGGAGTGCTGAGGTTCAGCAGGGAAGAAAAGAGCCTACACATGGCCTGGACTCTGTAACTGCCTTGTGGTTTTGACCCCAGCTGGCTGAGTACAGGCAGAGAGGCCAGGCTGCAAGGGTGGCTGGGGATGTGATCCCCAGAAACCCAGGAGCCTTTCGGCTGAGCTGCTCCCATTCCTCTTCTTTGAGGACAGAATTGTCGCCCTTGTCCTGGCCTTTGGATCTGACCTAGGGCTTGGAAGGACTTGTCTCCTACACAGTCCCAAAGCTTGGGACTTATTTCCGGTAGGTAGGGGTCCAAATTGCAGGAAGTAGTCCGTTTTGTTTTAGACTGGCAGGGAATGGGTATGTGGGTTACATTTGGCATTGGAGGCTTTGTGTCTGTTTGTGACTCTTCCCAGCTCGCCATGTGGCAGTCAGTGTGCCACTTTTGTCCCGCCTGTAGGCTGCAGGGCTGCCATGCCCAGTGGACCGGCTGTCACGCATCCCAAGGGCGGTGATGGTGAACCTCTCAGAGCTTTTGGTGGTAAAAACAGCCTGTTGTGGCACATGTGCCATAGGTTCACCACCACTGTCCTAGGAGTTTCAGAAAACCGAAATTCCCTGTCTCACTTCTCAGACTCAGATGGGAGGTCTGGGCTGTGTTTTGGAAGTCTCGGTCCTTTAAAATTTCAAGGAGTTGGGTCAGCAGACATGTTGGAGAACCATTGATTTTAACTGACTTGGTCTTGGCTTTCCACATCTGTGAATTTATCCTTTCTGCCCCCTTAGTGTCACTTGGGTAATGGGAAACAAAATCAATGGCAGATGAGAAGACTCTTGAATCCAGTGAGAGTTGTGGGCCACTAATCTGCTGAGCAGAGATGTAGCCAATTATCGATGAAGCAAGTGGCTTTCTCAGGTGGAGAGTGATGGTTTGTGACCCTCACTTCATTAGACTCACCTGGTATTTGGTTTCATCTGGTCCGGATCTCTATAAACATTAGGATTTTTACGAAGCTTCCTAGGTGATTCTCATATATAGTTAGAGTTGAGAAGTATTTATCAGTGCAGGTAAAAGTTCACCTTACTTTCTGTTTTCCTTACGTCTAAGATGTGGGCTGTGTCCTGAGCCCTTTGGCAGCCCACGCTTTGTCTGGTTCTTAGTGTCGGTATCTGGCTTGTGGGGGCAGATTCCTTCTAAAATGTTCAAGCAGGTTCTCTTTTCTCTAACAGATGACTCCAAACTGCCTCCCCCACCAACCCTGGAGCCCACTGGGCCTGCACCTTCTTTGTCTGAGCAAGAATCTTCCCCGGATCCCCCCACCCTGAAACCCATTAATGATAGCAAAACTCCAAGCGGCTTCCTAAAGCCCAGAAAAGTAGAAGAAGATGAGCTCTTGGAGAAATCACCTCTGCAGCTAGGGAGTGAGCCCTTGCAACACTTGCTCAGCGACAGTGGCATGAACAGACTGTCTCTTACGGGCCCTGACAGCCCGGCCGATGCCCCACTCAGTGGCGTGGGGCGCCGCACTTCAGTCCTATTCAAGAAGGCCAAGAATGGCGTTAAGTTCCAGAGGGGCCCAGACGGGGCCTTGGAGAACGGCGAGGACCACGGCATGGCGGGCTCTCCCGACTCTCCCGCCAGCACTGAGGATGAGCAGCATTCCCGGAAGCGGCCGAGGAGCAGGAGCGGTAGTGAGAGCGAGGGGGAGCGGTCTCCCCAGCAGGAAGAAGAGACAGGTGACCCTGCCTGTGCTTCTCTCGCTACTTCTCATCTGCTTTTCTGCTTTGCCTTGCCAGCCAGCGCCTTCCCCAGTGGGCCACCTCCCTAGTGGCCTCTGGGGAGGCCAGTTAGTAGCACTGGGGGGTCTGTAGCTTGCTTTGGGGCCTGACACATGAGCCATGGCCTGGGGAAGCAGGTGAAGTGGGTGCTTTCAGATGCCCAGGGTGTGTCCACGGCCCTCTTTGCTCCTCAGGGATGCAGATTGTATGTGATTACACGGTTTCTTCATCGTTCATTCGTTCATTTATTGGTACCAGGGATCGAACTCAGGTCTTTGAGCTTGGTGAGGTCTACCTTCATTTCAGTTCATTCATCAGATACTAGGCATTATCTTGGGTGCAGTGAACAAAACAGGCAAATATCTCTCTCAGAGGGGAAGCAGACCTAAAGCAAATGAAACATTTTGTATTAGTAGCTTTGGAGAAAAATCCAGCAAGAAGAGGGGGCTAGGGCGTGCTGGGCTGGTCAGGAAGGTGACATTTGACTAGATATGTGCAGGAGCTGAAGGCGAGAACCATTTGTGAATCCAGGGGCAAATACTGCAAGAAGATAGATTAGATTAGTACGCTGCAGCCCTTGGCAGGTGGGACCGAGCCTTCTGTCCCGGGAGCAGCCAGGGACCCAGTGTACTGTGGCCGGTGTGGAGGTGGTGGGAGCGGGTGAGTGGGTGATGGGGACTGGATTTCCATGTCCAGCCCAAGCAGGGCAATGGGGACCCTGGATACAAAGTTAAGTCCGATTCAAGTCCAGCCCCAGAAGCGTCACGTCTAGTAGGGAAACAAGGTCATCTCACAGGGTGCAGAGAAATCTCCGTGCACTGCAGGAGCTGTTCAGGGAACCCGAGCTGAAGGGTCTGGGAAGGCTTCTCCAGGAGGGGTGAGCTGGTCCGAGGGGCACCAGACTCTATGCGTGGGCGAGGCAGCCTCAGGGCTCCATGGTGGGCGAGTGTCAGGCAGAGCGTGTTGGGCTTGCCAGGGTAGGGAAGGTCAGCTTGCTTGGCGGGGATGGGCTGTTCTTGCATTTGTTCCTCGTTTTTCTTTTTTTTTTGAGGCAGGGTCTCGCTGTGCAGTTCAGACTGGCCTTAAACCATGTAGTCTGGGCTGGCCTCGAACTCGCGGCGATCTTCCTGCCTCAGCCTCCCAAGCGCTGGGAGGTCCTTGTGTTTCTGTCACATCCTTTTATATAATGGCTTTGAACTGTGTGTCCAGCACTTGTTTTTTTCTTTTTGTTTGTTTGTTTGTGTTTTTATTTTGCTTTGTACCTTGGTGGTGTCTTCCCTTCCCACCTGGCCCTAACTTCTGTGAGGGCAGAAGGTTGGTGGATAGAGAGGCAAGAGCTTGAGGCTTGGGGCTAAGTTCAGATTGCAACTTCTGAGCTGTGTAATCTGGGGAAAATTGATTCACCTCTCTGAGCTTGGTTCCTCACTTCTGATATGAAACCAGAGGTAACTACCGTGCAGGGCTCTGAGGGATTGGAAACAGTCTACATGAAGCCCTCGGCACATAGCGGTTATTGTCACCCTCTCCACTGTATCTGGCTGAGCCAGACAGCTCAAAACGCAAGCTCCTCCTGTAGCGAACTGAGTGTGGACAGCAGGCCCATCCAGCCTGAGGGGGCTGCCGCCTAGGGTCCTGTGAGATCCTGTTCCTCTCCCACTGTCACCCAGGAACACTTCCACACGACCTTAGCAGACTCATGAAAACAGGTGTTGATCTTTCCAGGCCAGACAGCCGAGGTCCAGCGGCTTTCGCGGTCTAAATCAAGGTCACAGTGTGAGAGGCCGGGCACCGGCTTCTGGGTGCTGACACCTGCTCCCAGGTGTGAATGGCGCTGAAGCCTTGGGCAAGGTACCTGTTACACTGTCAGCCGGGCGCTGGGCCCACCCCCTCTCCTGGCTCAGCCGTGGGAGAGGCTGCTGCGCAGGAGACGACGCAGCAAGGTCGGGTCCCCGGTGGCCGGCTCAGGAGGCTCAGGAGGCTCCGTGTAAACAGACCTGGTGCCCTCCACAAGGACCGAGGCATTAGCTTCACTCCGCAAGAGGCCAAGGCTTCGTGCTAGAAAGGGACCAGTATATCAGGGCGCAGTCTAGACAGGGACGTCCTGGGAATGTCTGGCTGCTCTGGTTCTGAAAAGCGCACTATCCTCAGCTCTGACTGGCATTGTTAGGTGTGGTCTGCACAGGGCCCCTATCGTGCCCCAGGCTCTCCTGACACCATCCCCAAAGAATGGGGACAGCTGTCGCCAACTGTGGGGCGGGCAGGGCCTGTGGTGTTTATCTGAACAGGCAGGGCGGGTGGGCTCCACTGGCAGAGACTCCCTGGTAATTGAAGTTTGAAATTGGAAGCAGATCCAGGGCCTTGCTTACTTACCCGCTGGTGGGGGAAACCTCTGTGTTTTCCTCTGGAGCCAGAGTCAGCTGAAGTAGTAAAAAGACGGGAAGGGAAATGGAGTGGCTGCTCACTGCCCGAGCCAGCAGTGTCCCCCAACCTTATCTGTCCGGTTCCCTCCTCCACGCCTTTCCCAGGGAAGAACAGCTCCTCTCCAGGCCCCCTGCACGCTGCTCTCCAGAGGTGGCTGCCTTGTGCCGCCACTGTGCAGGGGGAGCTTCTGCGTGTGAGCTCACACTGTGTGTCCTTGGCAGGTGTGACCAACGGCTTTGGAAAGCACACAGAAAGCGGGTCTGACTCGGAGTGTAGCTTGGGTCTCAGTGGCGGCCTGGCATTTGACGCTTGCAGGTAAGGACCCTTGTCCTCAAAGCCTTGTCAGTAGTCACCTCCGCTCCCTCGCTCACGGTTTTCCTTATCTCGGTTCTCACCCTCCTGTTTCCTTGGGCCTCTGGTCTATAACTGGGATCTCCTAGGAAACTGGGTGACCCTTGTCTCCCAGGTCTGCTCCTGCTAATAGGAGTAGCACCCATGCTCTGCATGGCCAGTGGGCTCAGTTGGGCTCTTGAGGGCGGGGTTTGTCTGAATGTCCTCTGGCAGGAAAGTTAACATTTGAAGCCCTACCTGCTCACTTTCGCTTGCATCGCCCTGGTGGTTTTGTCCTTGGGCTCTTGGGGTTTCATAGCAGTGGGCTCTTAGGGTGCAGCACGGAAATGAGGAATGAGCACCAGGACGTTCGGGGTCGCCTCTTGCTCAGGCAAGCCCCAGCTCGCCTCCCTTCCTTGAGCTGAGAAGGGGTGGGTTTCTCTTGTCCTTCTTTAACCAGTAGGGAGGATTTCTGAGGCTAGAACTTTCAAGTTTCTTCCGAGTCCACAAGTTTAGTGAGCCCTGCTCTGTGTTGTGTGTTCAGCAAGACCTCAGGGAGAGAGGCTCAGTCCCCAGAGGAAACATGACCAGTGCCGAAGTCTCGTGTCATGGTCTGAGGGAGCCTAGGTTCAAAGGGGAGGACAGGTTCCTGGCAGCACCGAAAGACGACCTGTCAGTGTTTTTGCGTCCACGGCAGCTGAGGGTGCCCTGCCCTGGCCACTGGGCTCCAGCTGGGGTTATGGGGCCACTCGGCTAAAACCTGGCCTGGGCTTATTCCTCGCTTGTGTTCCTTGGAGATTCTTCTCCCCACAGAGCCTCAGAAGTGCCCTGGCTCGCTCTCCCTCCCTCTTCCTCTCCCTCCCGCTCCTTCCTCTCCCTCCTCCTCTCCCTGTTGAAGCCTTCAGAGACACGTGGGGAGTAGATGGAGAAAAACACCAGCATCAGACAGAGGACAGAAGCCAGAGTTCAGAGTTAAAAGATGCCTTAGGTCTGGTCCTGGGTTGAAGTTTCTGGCTTCCTTCAAAGAGAAGCTGTCTGGAAACCCAGTGTGTTGGCGTAGGATCAAGGTCACCCGGTTGTTCCTTCTGGCCCCTGATGGCTTGCCTCCATGTGTGTCACAAGGACAGGCTGTGGTTAGCCCCCACTGATTCAGGGGTGTTTCCCCTCTGCACAGCTCAGCACCCCTGATTCCTCTGGGCTCCTGCTTGGTGTGGCAATGGTGCCCTTGGAAGGCATTTCTCCTTTAGCTCAGTGGTTGTCAGCGTAATTTCAGGATTCAGAACGAGATTCAAGGACCCAGCGGCAGGGTTTTTTCTTCTCTTGTCCCTCTTCTATCATAGCATAGTAAGAACGTAAAGGAAGATCTCTTCATTAGACTGAAACCTTGTCATCCCAGAGTTAGAGAACCTTGGGTCAAACCCACGGCCCATCCTGTCTTCCCAGCCTGCCCCTGTCTTGGTCTTTTCTGCTGGCTTTCTTAGCAAGCCAGAGCTGCACGCTCCTCCCCTGGATCAGCCCTGTAACTGCTGATGGCTGCGCCCTCGCTGTGCCAGACACTCTTCTAAGCCCTGAGAAGACCTCTGTTCTCATGGCGCTTATCTTGGGAGGGGGCGGGTGGAGGTTAAACCAGCAAACAAGATAATTACAAATGGGGCGGCCTGCCTGGGCCTGAGTCGCTTGGGCAGGGGCCTGACGTGCAGGCCAGGATCAACTTGGTGATGGTTTTTTTCCCACGGATTAGAAACACAGGCATTTGGGGAATTGTGTTGTATTTTATCGAGCTCCCCTTCTCAGAGCTTGTTGCTCTGCATTATAGCATCACTCTAAGCGACACATCATTAGAATTTACTGCCCTTCAGGTAATAACTGCCACTGTCCTTCTTTAAGTCCTGGGCGGGTGTATACTGAGTACAGCACTGGGGAGCACAGACCTCAGAGAAGGTAAGTTGCTTACTCAGGATCACAGAGCAAATGAGGAGAGGGACTAGGTTTTCAACTTAGGTAGTCTGGCTCCAGAGTTTAATCTTAACCGCTTTGCTGTGCTTTTTTCTGGTGTATTTGGAGATGTTTTCCCAGATTCAGGATGAACTCTGAGAGGCCTTCCTAAAATTACTCGCACCTTACATCTGTATAAAACCTCAGAGTCTCTCAGCGCATTTTGACCAACGAGAACAAGATTTCCAACCTGACCTCTGTTTACTGAAGGATTATGATTCATGTGATTAAGCAAATCTTTGTTTTCGTTTTTCCCCCCTTCCTCAGTACTGAGGATTGAACCCACAGCCTTTACACTGAGCTGTATCCCCAGCCCTTATTAAATTTTTAATTTTGAGATAGGGTCTTACTAAGTCTCTAATTACCCAGTCTGGGCTCAAGCTTGTGATCTTCCTGCCTCAGCCTCCCAGAATGTTCGGATATAACAGGATGCACCACCATGCCTGGCCAGTTTTCTTAGTATAATGATAAGGTCAGTTCTGACCCAGTGAAACAGAATAATATCCCATTCTCCACCCATTCTTACCCTGGCTGCTGCTTATCTAGAAGCTGGCCCAGGAGCTTGAGACTTGGTTGTACATTAGAATTGCGCATGGAGCTATGCTGATGGGCTGGGTGGTCTCAGTTATATCACTGTTCTGGTATTGCTCTTCACAGATTGGCTCATTCCTTTCTAGTCTTTGTCTAGTATATATTTTACCTCTGCTGTAGTCATGTTAAAATACTTTTTAGTTTAAAAAAAAACAAACAAAAAACCATCTCTGTCCAAGAAAAACTTCACACAAACCATTTGGAAATGAGAAGTTGATTTTTTTTTTTTTTCAATTTAAAAATATCTTTTCTTCTGGAAGCATGACATGTCCATTATAGAAAATTTGGAAAAGAGGCAAATTTTTATACCTCAAAAATAAAACGCTTTTTAAGAAATGGCGTGTGAACCACAGAGTAAGGAGTTCTGGGCAGATACGATACCGTCTTAATGACTTTCTCATTGCTGGGGCAAAATACCCGACACCGCCGGTTAAAGGAGGAGAGGTTTATTTCAGTTCAGTTCATAGAGGTTTCAGCCCGTGGTCAGCTGCTCCACAGCAGGGCGCGTGGCAGAGGAGAAACAGTTCCTGTGTGGCAGACCCAATACAGCCAGCCCTCCTTCCCCTTTTTATTCCATCCAGGCCACAAGCCTGTTGGTTGGGGCCACTCGTACCCAGGGCAGGTCTTCCCTCTTCAGTAAACCCTCAGTCACCCTCAGATGTGCTGAACCAGATGGCGTCACACACCCGTGACCCAGTCAGCCCCAGAAGTCCCCACCTTTAAGTGCATAAGGGTTTAAGGGACGTCTCGATGGAAGCCGTAACAGCCACTCCTCTTGGATCTTCAGAAGCACTGACAAGTGATGGAGGTGACCTCCCTGACAAGGACTTTCCAAGTCCAGTCTTTCCGTGTTAGGGATGATTCCTGAAAACCCAGCAGGAGATTTCCAGGTGGGAAGTATGTCGTGGCTTAGCGTGAGATGGGGGCAAGTTGAGAAACCATCCTCCCTGAGTGCTTTCTTTTTTGAGATAAGTCTCACTGTGTAGCCCAAGCTGGTCTTGAACTCACAGCAATCCTCCTGCCTCAGCTTCCCAAGTGCTGGGATTACAGGCGTGCGCCCCATGCCCAGCCTCTCTGAGGGCTTTTGTGGCTGTCCGCCCACCTGAGATGGGAAAGCATAAGTGGCCAGTTGGTCGCTGGAACTGCTTTGACCCCTCTCTCCCTGATCTGTGTGCAGTGGTCTGACACCTCCCAAGCGCAGCCGCGGGAAGCCTGCCCTGTCCCGAGTGCCCTTCCTGGAAGGTGTGAACGGAGACTCTGACTACAGTGGTGCAGGTGAGGAGCGGTATCTGGGCAGAGCTGGGGCCCAGGCCTTCCCAGCAGCCGGCTCTGCAGCCGCCGTGCTTCCAGAGCTCAGAACCAGTCAGCCGATCCCTGAGTACCCTGAACCCTCGGGTACTGGCTGGAGAAAGGGCCTGAGCTCCCAGGTGATTCATCCCTCTAAAAATAACTGTGTGAGGGCCGGGGATTTAGCTCAGTGGTTCCACCACCTGCCTTGCACAAGCAGAAGATCCTGAGTTCGATCCCTGGTCTGAAGTCGGAATATGTCACGCTTGCCCATGGTAACAAAAACCCGAAAGGTGGCAAGGGGCATGTGAGGAAAGCCAGCACTCTCTTCCTCGGGACATCCACTGTTAGCGTTTGCTTTTGAGCCTTTCCAGAGGTGATCCAGGAATGTACAAGCCAGGCCTTGTGTGTGTGCTGAAGAAAGTGATAAGAGAAATCCAATATACACGTTCCTCCGTGGTTCTATTCCTTTTTTCCAGTTAGTAGAATACCTGAGAGATCCTTCTGTGCTTTGGAGTAGCTGCCTAGTGTCCCGTTATACAGGAGGGCCTGCATTTGCATAGCCACCGTAAAGACAAATTCGTTGTTTTGAGTTATGTGTTATCAGTGTGTGTCAGTACTGCAGGGAGCAGCCTTACGTGTGCATAGGTCGTCCCGTCCCCGCGGGGCTAATTCCCGTGGGAGTAGGTGTTGACTTGAAGGAAATGTGCATTTGTGATTTTCATGGCCGTTGCTCGTCTGCTCAGTAGAGTTGTCAGTGGTAGCCCGTATCACTGAGGTTCACCTGCAGTCCTAGAGTTTTATGGATCTTGTCTCCTTGGATCAGTGGTATAAAGGGCAGGACAGGGCCAGCTGGTCCCCAGGTACAGCAGGCACAGAGGGGCCGGGCGGTCTAGATGCTGTCTTGGAAGTTTCCACCTAGGGCTCAGGCCGCGGGGCTTCTCTCCCCTCCCGCTTCCCCAGCTGCCTCCTTTCCCCTAGCATGGGCCCTCGCGTGCATGTCAGTGGATGCATGCGTGTGGGATGCATGCTGGTGTGCTTCCTTTCCTCCTGTGCCTGTCAGCCCCCAGAAGGCAGGACTCTGTCCAGATGAATCTGTGTGACATCTAAGCTCAGAGCCAGGAGTGTATTGGCGCACTTTGTGCTTCTGGTGGTGACATTTTATTCTTCTTTTTAAAACTCACTTAAAATGATGCCAAAAGAGGGCCAGGGATTTAGCTCAGTGGTTCCAGCGCCTGCCTCGCAAGCGCAAGGACCCGAATTTGATCCCTCCGATACCAAAAAAAAGATGCCAAAAGAGACTTTAAAAGGAATTTGAGCTCTCATAGTTCTCTCATCTTAACACAGTTGTCTTCATTTCTCTGTGTTGCCTTCTGTTTATTTTAGGCATATTTTTAACAAAGTACTAATCCAAAACACTTGTACTTTTGTATCCTACTTTTTTTTTTACTGTTACCTCATACTTTTTTCGTGTGGACACATAATCTTTGTCTCATTATTGCAACACTATATCTAACAATGCTAATTTACTTAACTGGTCTGTTGTTAGACATTTGGTTATCTCTGACTTCTAACATGACAAGTGATGTAGTGAATCCACATTTTTGTTCAGTTTTATTTGTTTTTAAAGTTATTTTTCTTAGAATAAATCACTGAGGAAGGGATTTACTGGGGAGCAGGTGGTTCGTCCATTTTTTGAATGGCTTGGGCGCATACAGCCAATTCCATCCTGTAAGGAGTTGGTCCGTCAGCAGGGCCAGCGGAAGATGGCACCGGTTTCCCCTCGGCCTTCCTCTTTAGTGTTGGGTTCTATCTTTTTATTGTTGTTGCTGCTAACCCAGCAGTCAGAACAGTGCCTCATTATTGTGAGTACGTTTTTAAACATTATAAGGGTGGTAATTTTTCCTCAGAAATATAATTGCCACTCTTGAGATTTGGGTCTTTTTTCCCTCGGTCGGGTGCAGTCACCACTCAGTTCCAGTGTGTAAATGTGGGGAAGGAAAGAGGTTCCTTTGGGGTCCAGCAGCCCTCGTGAAGCACCCATTCCTGTGTGCTGCTGCACGGGTGCAGGGAGAGCGAGCGGTGTCCGCTGCAGGTGGGACAGCAGGCCCTGTGCGCCTGCCTGGTGGTTCTGAGTGGTGCGGCCCAGTGTCCCAGATGGCCAGAACCCATGTAGCAGATGGTTTTCTTGGGACGTCCTTCCTAGGCCTCTTTATCCACAAAGCCTCCGTCACGAGAACTCCACGCTCGGGGGCCAGAGAGGGGTGCGTGGCTCTGCCCAAGCTGGGTAGGCCCTTCTCCTGCCGGGATGAGGCCGCCTCATTTTCTCAGGGAAAGTCATCCGAGGGTTCCAGTTCAGAGGTTGGTAAACTATGGCCTGCTGCCTGGTTCTAGGTGGTCGATGAGCTTAGAATGGTTTTGAGGTTTTTTTTTTTTTTTAAACATTTTAAAATGATTTAAAAGAAAAATCAGAAGCAGAATGTTTCATAACATGTGAAAACTACATGAAATTAAATTCCAGCGTCTTCTAGAACAGAGTAGTAACAGTATTGGTTACACGGCCACCATCACTTGTTTCCAGATTGTCTGTGGCTGCTTTGATGCTACAACTGCAGTTGAGTAGTTTGGTCCGAGACCAGGTGGCCCCTAAAACCTAAACTATGTAGTTAGGCCATTTCCAGAGCTAATTTGCCAACCTCTGATTCATTCTGTGGATTTCTCCTAAGGAAAGGGTAGGGAAGAGGAAGGGTGGAGGGGATGCTGCTGACTCATTCCTGGGCTGCCCCAGTCGAATGGAGGCCACAGGCAGGGCTTTTGGGCATCATTCCGAGTCCCCTCTGGGCACTGTCTCCTCCCCTCCCCCACCCCCAGGCAGAAGCCTCCTGATGCCCTTTGAAGACCGCGGAGACCTGGAGCCCCTGGAGCTGGTGTGGGCCAAGTGCCGAGGCTATCCCTCCTACCCTGCCTTGGTGAGTCTGCCCCAGACACCACCCTCCTGTGTCCCCGGGCGGCTCCGGCCCCTGCCTGCCGTGGGGGCTTATCTGATCGGATCGAGCCAGCAGTGTGCTGCGGGTCAGGGTGCCTCTAGCTGCCAAGGGGTGGGGGGCTCATCCCGGCTTCTGTGGGGCAAACCAGCAAGGCCCCCGCTGGAAGAACTTTTCAGAAGGCTGAAAGTAGGCAGGCAGAGTCTCGGCTCTTAGGGTTTCAATGGCATTTTTATTTGCTTATGCGTTACAGTAATACATGCTTGTTGTAGAGGACTGAAAACGCTCTTCATGCTTAGATGTTTGATTAAACATCTGTTGTGCCAAGTCCTTGGAATACTGAGGCAGGCGAAGTCACTCCTGTTTTGTGAGGAAGAAAGCTTTACCTGTGCTTAGCCACCTAGTAAGTTGCAAGGTGGGAATCTGAGCCCTTGGCTCCAAACAGGTGATGTCAGAGCCTGTGTTCCGAGCCTCCGAGTTCAGAACCACGCACGGTCTGTTCAGGGATGAGCTGGTGCGTAGCCAGCCTGGTTAATGTGTAGGGATGCGGATACGAGGCTGTACTGTTTTACCCTCCTTCTCACTAAACCACACACGGTGAACATGCACGTCTCACGCCATTTTTAAACCCTGTCAGCATCATTTAGTGACTACATCATCTTCGGTTGTATTCGTGTAACACATTTTGATCATTCTCTGGTTGGTTATTTAGATTGTCTGAATTTTTCTCTATAATAAACAGTTGGCAATCCGTGTAACTGTCGCTCTACCTTTGTGTACATCCGTGATTGTTCTTCACAGTGAATTCTTAAGAGTGCCTTCTAGGGGCTCAGTCTGGACAAAAGTTGGATACAAGTTGCCTGAAAGTTCCAATTTAAAGTCCCACCAGCAATAGCTAAAGTTTCCATTTCTTCCACAGTAGCAGTAGCTAAAAATTTTGTTTTTGTCTCACCTTGTTCTTGCTTAGAGCTCAGTCTCAGTGGGGGAGGGCGCGTCCACCCAGCTGTGGAAGATGGTACTGATTCCAACCCCCAGGGTCATCAGACTCATCTGGAGGAGTTTTTAAGCCACACTTTCCCCCAGCCAGCTCCACTGTAGAACTACTGAGGGAGAGTTTTGAGGCCAGACGAAGGCATGAGTTTTTTCCAAAGGCTTCCTGGATGGTGGAGCCTGGGCACGGGAACCACCCTGCCCACCTCTCCCAAGCTCTCAGAGCTCTGTGCTTCTCCCAACCCTTTTCTGTCTGTGACTTTTGAGCCCAACAGCAGCCTCTCAAGATAAACGGGGCAGGAACTTTGACCCTGTTTGGACCAATGAGGGCTGCACAGTTGCGGATCCACGGTCCCTGTCCTGCTCACCTTCCCCTCCCCAGCAGTGGCAGGCAGGGGAGGTCACACCGTGAGCTCGAGGCCAGAGAAGCTGGCCCAGGCACAGCCTGGCTTCACAAGGCCAGAGACCCTCAGTGCTTAGTCATTATGGAAGTGACCAAGGCTCTCCATGTTTAGGGTTATCGTGACAGTTTTTAAATTTCACAATGCACAGAAATCAGTTCAAAGCTAGTGTTTTTTAAAAATTACTGTTTTGGGAGGACAGCTGCACTGGGGATCAAGCCCAGGACTTCACTGCAACACAAACATTACCACTGAGCTACCCCCAGGCAGTATTCTTACTTATACATTTTCATTCCGAATTAAAGAAATTCAACCCCTGCCTGAATAAAACTTGCTTTTTTTATGTTGATGCATGCTCCTCCAGCCTTTTTCCTGTGTATACTTCTATATGTATTTGCATATTGCGTTGTGCTTCAACCTTCTATTTTAAGCCTTTGTCTTTTTTTAAAATGGGGGGGGGCTTGCTAAGTTGCCCAGGCTGGACTGTAATGCCTGCACTCAGGAGACTGTCCTGCCTCAGCCTCCCAAGTAGCTGGGACTACCCGTGCACGCCCCTGTGTCTGGCTTAAGTCCTTATCTTTTAAACACAGGTATTTGTCTTATTTTTATAAAAGTAATATGTAGCACAGTATAAACATTTTAGAAATACAGGGGGGATAAACACAAGCCCCACCATTCTAACATGTTGACTCAAGTATTTTATATCATTCCTTTTATTGGTTGTTCACGTATTACAGTTGTAACAGAGTATGTACACATTTATTGTCTACTGTGTTCAATTTATCATAAGCTCTGTTTTCATGTGTTTTGCACCTGCATAGCCCTCCTGAGTGAGTGGACCGTTATTGTTTGGGGATGTGGAAGCTCTCTTCGGGGCAGCCCTCGGGAAGGTTTCCCCAGTGCCCTCTCAGGAGCCAGCCTGGCTCGGTCCACGAGGAGACTTCCCAGGGCTGTGTGGCTGTCCTCTGAGGGCCCTCGTGTGGGTCCTGGGAGAGTTGGGTTCTCTGTCAGTGAACTCTTCACAGAGAAGCTGCCTGAGCCGCTCGTCCCGAGAGGGATGTGGGGAAACGCAGGTGCCCAGAGGGGAGTGAGGAGAGCAGTTTATTCTGAGAAAAGGCCCGCGGGGACTGAGTACAGGAGTAGAGTTGCTCAGTCTCTGGAGAAGGCTGCTCCCTTGGGACGTTTCCCAGGTCTCTGCTCCGAGCATAGGAATCTCCGGACTTGGGCTGCAGGGCTGTGGCAGCAGAGGCCCCACTTGGCCCGGCGCCTGGCCCGAGTCGTGGCCGTGGCTTCCGCCGGCCTTTCCTCCTGTGCTTGGCCTTTTCCTCTCTCAGCGAACACCTGTCCGCAGACATGCTGGCATTGGCAAGCGACTGAATGAGATGAGGTGTGGATAATGAGGAGCGTTGGAAACTTGGAAAGTGCTCCACGGACCTGGGGAATTACTGATGTCGGTACTGCCCGGCCTCTTGCTCTGAGCTAGGCAGGGCGTGCTGGGTGCTGGAAACAAAACCCCACCGAGGTGGCCCATCCTGCACTTGTGAGCCTCCGGGCTCAGGCTGTGCACCGAGCTCCTGTGGAGGTGGGAGGGGGCGCACAGCTACTGTAGGAGGCGACAGTCCTCAGAGCCGCGGCGCCTGGGGAAAGGCCCTGAGCGTGTGAAGTGAGAGAGGCAGGAAAATGAGCTCTCCTTTCTCCCCCAGAGACCTGAGAAGGGGTTCGCCTGCCTGGCTGGGCATCAGAGGCCCCACTTGCTCCCTTCCCTCCTGTTTTCCCACTGCCGTCGCGGCCCCAGGGCCCGATAGCTTGTGGAGCAGACCTCATCAGGACCGGTCGGCAGGGCCGGAGGACCGGGACGTGAGCCGGGGGCCAGGGAGAGGCCAGGTCCTCCATCGCTCAGGTGGACAGGGCCGGCCTCTGCTGCTTAGATGTGGGGCGCTGCAGCGGTGAATCTTGCAGCCGGATCCCTGCTCACCCAGCCCCCTCCTGAGCACCCATCTCCCTTTCTTCCTCCAGATCATCGACCCCAAGATGCCCCGGGAGGGCCTCCTGCACAATGGCGTCCCCATCCCTGTCCCCCCACTGGACGTGCTGAAGCTGGGAGAACAGAAGCAGGCAGAGGCTGGAGAGAAGCTCTTCCTTGTCCTCTTCTTTGACAACAAGCGCACCTGGTGAGTGCCAGGGTGCAGGGCTGCCCCAGGGGAGGGGACAAGTGCTGAGTGAGAGTGGCGTCAGGCTGGCCGGAGAGAGCGCGTCCCAGTGAGGAATGCAGCCCTGAGTGGAGGAAGAACCGCAGCAAACCTGACGGGAGGCCTCAGCTCGTCCTCCGGGGTGCTCAGGAGAGCTGGTGGCGGTCGGGCCTGTGTCTCTGTGCCCAGTTCCACTGGCCTGGGGAGCCTGCGACCTCAGGCCGCGCAGCTCCCTCGGTAGGTGACTCCTGGAGAGGGGCTCAGTTGTGCCGGTCAGCTGCCAGCACTCCGGCGGCTGTGGAAAGGTGCGTCTCAGTCCCACAGGGCCCGGGCAGCGTGGTGCCCTGTGAAAGGGTCTTGTTCACCACCGTTTATGCACCTTAAGGAGGCTTGACACCAGCAGGAGGGCGCTGTCACCTCTGCTTCGACAGTGAGGAGGTAGGCCTGGCTGATGAGAAAGATGCCAGTAGATGCCACTGACCAGGGAGTCTCTGGGTGTCCTTGTGCACTGCTTAATCTTACTTGGGTCTTGATGCCCTGGATGCGTTTCTCATGAGGAAGCCAAGTCCTGGCCCCATTGCCCACACTGGGGTCCACACCGAGATCCGACTCAAGGCTGTGCTCCCACCCATGTGTTAGATTCCGCTGGGAGTGTTAAAGACGCACACGTGTGTGTGTGTGCACGTGTACATGTGCTCGCATGCACACACACACGGAACAGGCCCAGGAGACGTGGGTTCCTGGCATCAACTCCCCTTCCAGCCATAGCCCTGCAGTTTCCCAAGGCAGGCGAGGCTCCGGTCCACTCTTAGGGACGACAGAGGTTTCTCCTGGACCTTGGGCCCGCAGAGCACAGTTAGGGCCCAGGGAAGGACCTGGCTGCCAGTGCTGCCATCTGGCCTGCCTGGTTCTCGCGGCTCTTGCGTGGGGCTCCCCCACCCTGCCTGCTCTGCCCTGTACCCCCTTCCCCGACCTTGCTTGTCCTGAGCAGAGGGGCCCAGTGGGACCCGTGCAGGGTCCACCAGAGCCCAGCCTCTTAACCACACTTGCATTTCAGGCAGTGGCTTCCAAGGGACAAAGTCCTGCCCCTGGGTGTGGAAGACACTGTGGACAAGCTCAAGATGCTAGAAGGCCGCAAGACCAGCATCCGCAAGTCGGTACAGGTGGCCTATGACCGCGCCATGATCCACCTCAGCCGAGTCCGGGGCCCCCACTCCTTTGTCCCCTCCAGCTACCTGTGAGGGTAGGGCCGGGCCTCCATCCCGTGGGCGCGGAGAAGCCTCTCCTGCCCCAGCCAGACATGTGGCGGTAGCTTCTCCGCTCACGGTAGGCCCGGGGCTGGACTGTGTCCCCACTAAGGGGAAGGCCCTGTTCTGACCATTCACACGGTTCCCCGGAGGGCCTGCTGTGTGCCGAAACCTGCCCCTGGGCCCTCGGGGACACCCCACTCAAGAACCACTTGTTGTGGGCTCGGCCCACCTGAGGAGCGGCACCAGGCCGGACCGAGGTGAGGTGGCCTGGGCTGCCTGGCTCTTTCCATCCCCTCAGCGAGGCCAAGGCTCTGACGCTGATCCCAGAGATGCCGTGGGTGCGCCAGGCCCTCGGGGCTCCCCCTGAGCTCCCCTCTCCCCGCCCCTCCCAGCTGTCTTCCACCCTGGGGGCCAGGCTCTCGCGCCCACATTCCCTTCCTTTCTCTTGTGCCAAACTGACAGCAACATCACCAAACTTGACCTTTCTTCATGTCCCATTCCCTTGGCCAGCTGCTCTGCCAGGTGGGTGTCGGGCCACCCCCGA